TTTTTTATGACAGCAGCTCTCCTGTGAACTTCATGTGGTCATTGTCTCATATTGCAGAAGTGAATGTAAAGTAGTTTCTGTAAACTGTACTATTATTGTGCAATGTTCACACACTGTTTCAATGAAGCCAGTATCATTTAAGCATACAGCTTATTTGCAGACTATCTAATACATCTTACATTGTGCATATAAAAGGACAGGTACATAAAGGATTTTTTTGATTATCTGTAAAAGACACGATACACCTACTACTGAAAGGATATTTTATTCTGATGTGGAGCTTCTTAAATAGGCTTATTTAATGAACAAATCAGAAAAACAGTTTCAGAATATTATTACTACCATTCACTCCATGCACAGGTCTGTAAATATGTTGCAGAGTCCACCTTCTAGGTCAGTGATGGCGAACCTTTTTGAGCCGGAGTGCCCAAACTGGATCACTAAACCAACTTATGTATCTCAAAGTGCCAACCCTTCAATTAGATCTGAATACTCTCAGGGGGGCTCTGCAGTTCTAAGGTGGTCTGTACGGGCTCTCAGGGGGCTGTACGGGCTCTCAGGTGGACTCTGTGGGGTTTTTGGTATTCTGTACAGGCTCTCAGGGGAGCTGTGCAGCTCTCAGACGGTCTATTATGGCTTTTGGGTGGGCTCTGTGGTCCTTCTGGTGGTATGTATGGGGTCTCTGGGGGGCTGTGTGGCTCTCTGTCCATGCAGCAATAATAATCACCCCCTTACCCGCAGCAATAATAAATTATCCTTGGGGTAGATTAATACTGCAGCCGGGACAGAAATTACTATTAGTTATTACCGTATTTGCCGGCATATAAGACGACCCCCCACTTTTTGTGTAAACAAATATAGGTTTTGGGCTATACTCGTCATATAAGAGGAATATAGCCCAAAATAATGTTTAAATGCACCCACTAACATCCATGGCGGTATTCCCGAGTGTGGCTCAGGGTTAATTTTCAGTACCATAAGCAGTAACCCCGAGCCACAATCGGGAATACAGTCTTTTACCTTGTCCACGATCCCCGCTGTGTCCTCCGTCTTCCGCTGAGTCAATCACGGCAAGCTTTGTATTCATAAATACAAAGCCTGCCGTGATTGACTCAGCGCCGAGCCAATCACGGCAGGCTTTGTATTTAATGAATACAGGCTTTGAATACTTAATTGTCGGCTGCCGGAGCTCTCCGTGTTCCTCTGCGGCAGCCGAAAAAGTGAAACAGTCCCCTCCCTTCTGCTGTCAGTTTAGCGGGGAGAGAGGGAACTACTAACCACTAATTGGACTGGGACCGCTATCGCTGCGTCCCTTTAAAAATGTGGACCTGGGCTCGCGTGCCAGCAGAGGGGGCCCCACGTGCCCACTCTGGCACGTTTGCCATAGGTTTGCCACTACTGTTCTAGGTAGTTCTACCTGTGCTGCAGACCCCTTATGAACAGGAACCACTAGTTATAAGCACAACATGAGAGGTCTAACCAGTTGTTAGTAGTTCATGTTATTTTTTGTCTGCCTATTTGGTAGGACTGTCTGGAAAGCTGTTAATGGTTGCGCTAGTCTGCACTCTACACTGTGCCAAGCATTGATTATGGCAAATCTATCCAAAAAGAGGGCAATTCCCTCTTAGACATTTGTCTCCAGAACACAAAGATCTCCCCCGCCCCCTCCTGTTCTGGTGTTCTGGTGACAACTCACTAGAGCTGCAGCTAACGATTATTTTCAAAATCGATTAGTTAGCCGATTATTAAGTTCGATTAATCGGTTAATCGGATAATCGGTGTGTGGAGCGTGGATGCGAGCGGGTCTGGCAGCGGCGAGAGTGAGGTGGGGAGGAGGTGCGGCGCACAGTGTGTGGAGCTGTGAACAGGGCCAACTGATCGGAAGCCGATTAATCGATTATTGAAAAAGTTGACAACTTTTTCAATAATCGATTATAATCGATTATGTCGATTAGTTGTTGCAGCCCTACAACTCACAATTTGGACAGTGACAGACCGCAATAGAAAAAAACTAAATTGGGTTCTAACCTATTACCACTATGTTAAAACAAAAAAAAACTTTATTGAATACTCCATGTGGGGAATTTATCATAGCATTTGCGAGTGAACTCGAATATGGTCACGTGGCATATATTTGTGCTGCATTTATGTTGCCAGTGTAATGTTGTTCATAAACGAGATTGAATAGACTCCAGGAAAGAAGACTTGCAACTCCAGGCAAAAAGCTCAACTGTCACTTCTTGGAGAAGTGGTCATAGGGACTTCTTAAGTAGCGATTGTTTTGTTGGGTGATGCTCCAGTTTCAGACAGCCGCAGGACAAGAGCAGATGTAAACAGTTGCGAACTTTCGCAAAACAGGCGCAATTGGGAAAATAGAGCAAGCTCTGGTCAAAACGGACGCACATGTTAAGAGGGGCGGCTAAGCAGATTTTCTCCGAAAAGAAATGATCTAAGAGGCTAAAACAGTCACAATTGCTTTGATAAATCCCCCCCCCCCCCCCCGCGTTTGCCCTTTTTTTTTTTTTTTATTTTTA